CCAAATCCGATGGTTTCTTTGATATGGCTTAGGGGGAGACAGAATGAAGTGCTTTGGAGCTTGCAGAAGACAGAAAGAAAGTGTGCTACAAAATTCTGTAAGTGATACACATCCTCCAAACTGTGCTGTGTCAATGAATGACATTGAACTCAGGGTTAGATCCTTATGATTCATTGTCTGGGAAACATTTATTCTCTACACAAAAATGTAGTGATTTATTAGGAAAAAAAAACTTTACAGAAGACTGCTTTTGCCTTCACTACATGGACCTTTTCCAAATTCCCACATCCCATGCTGTAGCTTTAACTCAAGCTGAATCCTTGCCTGATAATCAAGGAAGGCTGGTGCTCTAATCCATTCATGGTGCAGAATTCCCAACTCTCAACTGCTCAGCCTCTCCTTATGCAAATTTTGTGGTTTTGGCTCCCATTTTACACACAAGAAAACCAGTACATGACAGAAATTCCAGGCCTGAAATAGGGTGTCCACCATCAGCTCAGGGATGTTCAGGAATGATTTCATGTCATTGAGCCTTGCTTAAGAATTATTTTGTACACACAAATCAGTCTATAGAGAACTTATTCATGTAAACACTGTTTAGAACATAAAAAAAGTTTATTTCTCCCTAAGTTGAAAAAAATTTCCTTTAGAAATTTTCTTTTGGTGTTTTCATGTTAAAGGGCCATCATGAACTTCATTAAGTTTTAAAATAAAGCATGTTTCTATTTTCCCCTTTTATTGAAAATACTTTTCTCATTGAATATATACAGATTAAAATGTCTCCTCCCTCTACTCCTCCCAGTTCCTCCTGACCTTGTCTCCCATCCAGATGAACTCCATTTCTGTCTCTCATTAGAAAATAACAGGCTTCTAAAAGGCAAAACATAATGAATGAAATTATAATAAGCTAAAATAAAACCACCACTTCAAAGTTGGACACAGTAAATTAACCACAACAACAAAAGAGCCCCAATAGAAGGCACAGGAATTTGAGAGCCGCTGGTTCACACACTCAGGAGTCCCATGGAAACGCTACACTGAAAGCTACAATATATACACAATGGACCTAATGCTTATCCACCTTGGCCCTGTGCTTGCTGCTTCATCCTCTGTGAGTTCATATGATCTTTGCTCAGTTTATTTAGAAATCTGTTTTTCCTGGTGTCGTCCATCCCTTCTGTCTCTTACTGTCCTCCTGCCTCCTCTTCTGTGGGTTCCTTGGGCTCTGAGATGTGGGATTTGTGGGAGACAACCCACTTAGAGCTGTGTGTTCCAAGGTCTCTCTCTGCTTAATGTCTGACTATGAGTCTCTATGTTTGTTCCCACATGCTGCAGGAGGAAGCTTCGTTGATGATGACTGAATAAGGGACAGATTTATGAGTATAGCAATATACCATTAGGAGTTGTTTTGCTGTTGTTGTTTTAGACCAGTAGTATTTTGGTTTTATCATAGTCTCTGGATAGCTAGTCTCTGGTTCTTGGTCACCTGAGCAGTTTCAGGTATGGATTCAGGAAATCTAAAAGAAATCACTTCTGATTCATACCACACACCAAAATTACACTAACATGAACTAATTCGAGAAGTTTATAAGTAGCAACAACAGTGAAGCAGAAATAAATGCACCATGATGAAAAAGAAAACCCTAGAAGCAGATAGAATCCTCACAGAATTAT